TGCTGGATGATGTCATAATCTTTGAGGATTGCCTCAAAACACAATTGGTGGATTTTTTTTTTCTATTACAAAATACATACTGAATGCAAACGCTATATGCGATAATAATGTAGCACTATTTGCCGAATATGTTTATTCATACAAATTATAATGTGTACTGTATTGTAATCAGAATGGTGGAATTTCAGCCTTCTATGTCATTAAGGACATACTTAGCACAGTATGTATGCTAGAAATGAAATGAATGTATACCCAGAGCTATGTATATAAATAGCAGAGTGCATATTACTACTTATGTATAGATTGCACAAGACCTGCTTTGCGGTTGATGTGTGAGTAACCTGAAATGAGCACTTTTATCAGCCAGGTGAGGTCACATCTTGGCTGCATCGTTTGAATGGAAGAGAAGAAATCTAATTCCCTGATGTTTTCTACACATAGATTTAAGATCTGTAGACATCCATTGGGATTTTCTTTTTCAAGTCACTTTCTTCAAATAATTTCTGAACATCTATAATTTGCTTCTACAACAGTTGTTCCCCACATACACCGTTTTATTATTTTTTTCATTTAACTCCTGAAAATGTTTGTTGAACCGTTAAATATGTTTGTTTTGTATTCTCCAATCAGTAAATTAGGAGCTCTGACAAATAGTTGGCCACTGTAAATCCCCAGACACATATGATATCCCTTTGCTGTAATAATTTATGTTTTTTTTCAAAATGGAAGTAGAATGTTTCATAAATGACATTTTCTCTTTAACCTTTGCAGCTCCACAAGGGCATGGAGAGAATTAACATTTCATAGCAGGAGACTAGTGAATGGCGGGGCCTACACTACAAAATGGCTTCTGGTGTGCAGGTAAGGCACAGCTTTGTTTTAAGATTGGCTCGTGTGTCTAGAATATTTTTGAGTTGGGCATGCAAACATATGCACTGGTAAAGCTCTACAACCACCTCTATGCAGCTAGTAAGAGCCAAGGAAATTGTATTTATGGCTTGTATCTCAGGGTTTTATAAAGAAAAGCAGCATGTTTATCTCTATGTCTAATACAGTAGGCACTCTTAGAGTATTTTTTCCTAACATTGAAGGGGACAGGCATAACTTACAAAAAAGCGCAGCCTTGAATATATTTGAAAGGCCTCACCATTTGTGACCAAATTCATTTATCTTCTAGTACATAACCCATAATTTAATGGCCGTCCGTAATTGTCCTTTAGACTATTGGCACAGCTAAACGAATTAAATTTTTTAATTATGTGATTTCCCTAGGAAATACATTTGAGCGAAATTTGAAAATAAAGAGATTTATACATATTATGTTTCTTTGACAGTTTGGGATCATTGTTAGGGATGACCAAGTGTAAATGTGAGGAATTTAATAACATTTGGCTTAAACCTAGTCCACAGTAAGATATTTTGCTTGTTGTGACACCAAGGAAAATGACATTGTCTTGTAATGGAAAGGCCATCGGTTCTAAATTAAATTCACAGCTGTACAGTCAGTGCATTCTGCTATGCCACAAACTACCAACAATGGAGCGGACCTGTTTTCCCACACGGCTTGCCGAGCCCGAGAGTGATTTATAAGGCGCTTCATCATCTGGTTAATGAGAATCAGCAATTGGCCAGGTTTTCAGAAGCTGGCAAATGAATATGCATGCTGCAAATCTGCATGTGTTAAGCTTCATCTTAATAACAATTGCAGCAATTTGCATGTGGGGCGTTCCCACATGGATTTCTTTGTTATAAATTTTTTCACTGCTTTCTGTGGGTGTCTGAAGAATTAACCTCTGCATTGCTAAATCATTTTACAACACATTGAAGACCTCACTGCTGGCGAGGATGAGATTTAATTCAAGATCTCATAGACTCTTGTTTGTCATTTGGCAAAAGGCTTTAGCTGCCAGACAGGGTCACTGGCACAGATGCCCATTTGTGTATTCATTGTTTGTCTACATACTACTCTCCTTTTTTTTTTCTAGCCTCTCGCTATAATGTCTAATAAAATGTAAGCTCTTCCAGCTCAGCGTTGTCTAGATAACTATTTCCACAAATTTTATAATGATATGAAGTGTATTTTTTCTCTCCGGTGACAAAAGCTGGCAGCTGTTATGAATCGGGTTCATACCCACAAGATGACAAATTTGCTTCATTTATTTAAGAGCATCTGACAATTGTGCTATAAATTACAATCTGAATGATGACTCACCTTCCTGCGACTAGTTAAGGCTAGGTTCAGATTATGAGTGCTGTTAACTCTTTGTTAACTCTTTGTCAAGCGTGCATTCATTCTATAGATAAATACACTTCTGTTATTCAAGATAAGGATGGCCATTTACATTATTCTTTTTTGATATTTAGCACATTTTTATGGTTGCCACGCAGACTATAAAACACCTTTTTGGGCCTATTTCAGCACCGCAATTAAGAACAGTAGGTTATAGGCTTAATATTTCCAATCAAACTAGACTTTGTTCATCTTTTTTGTTGTCTTGGGATCATCTGTTGTGATCATTGAACTATCCCTCCTACCAGGAGGAACAATAGTTGTAATATACAAGGCATGATGACTTTATCTTTATCAGAAAAAAGGAAAGATTATACACAGATATACGAAGTCAGGTAGATAAATAGATGGATATATAGTTTGACATCCTTTTATACTATAGTACAGTTCTGCCTGTTATAGTGAAAAGTACTTCTGAAGCAGATTAAACATGTACAAACACCAATGAAGGGCAGAAGCCCACTGCAACTAATCAGATGTCAACTTTCCACATTTAGAGCAATGAAAGATGGTTTCTGATTGGGTGATATGGATTCACACTGTCGCGCATACACGCGCGTACGTGTGTATTGTACAAAATGCAACACATGCAAATAAATGGCTCCATACACATATAGTCGTGTATGGAGCCGTATATTTGCGTAGCATATATATGCGCAAAAACAGAATGGAACAGAGATGCGTCCGCGCAGCGTATTTACGCGCACATACGCGTGTTTGTGCGCGTATACGCGCGTGCATGCGTACAGCACATACAAAATTCCATTACGAGTGATGCATTCTGGGATTGAAATTCCATTACGAGTGATGCATTCTGGGATTGCATATAGTGCATGCATATACGCGCATAGACGCTCGTATATACGCAATATACAATTTTGCTTGCATTGTGTGTGAATGAGGCCTAAACCACAAAATGATGATACATAATTAAAAAATATCATTAAAATGTTTGCATTCTATTGTATTACGTCCTGGAACTGTATTGCTAGTAGTAGTGATGCATATTTTTTAAATGTACAATGTAATTTCCTGATTAAATGTATAGATTACTGTTCACGTCTTTAAATCTAAGCAGGAAATAATTGCATTGTTTGATAGGTGGTATAATGTGTTTCAAAGTGTAACGTTCCCTTTTTTCTCAAGCAGAGTCACTGAGAACACCAGAGACTACACAGCCCTTCCTGGAGTACACTGCATCTCTAAAACCAGCCAATCAAATTAGCCATTTCCCAAGCTTTGTTTCAATATGTGTGAGCATCACTCTACCAATATGAGGTGCCAGCGTTGATAAAACAAAAGGAGACAAGCAAATGCAAGCATCTGCCTTGGATGACATCCTATTTCTAATTCATCAACCCGAGGACCTATTTTGTGGATGGAGGCCATTTTGATCGAACAGAGGAATACTTTAAGATGGCTGCTTTGGCACAAGGTAGGTCGAATTTGCTGCCTAGCCGCGCTGCTCTTCTCCTCTCCCTGCCGTTGATCATTTTCTTAACGCGTTAATTAGCAACAAAACGGGACAATAAATGAATCTGGCATGACCCACTTTCATCTGCCACCACCCTTCTCATGTGGAAAATCTACCCTTCGTATTAATTTAATTAACATACTTTCTAATTTTCCGTCCTCATATGTGCAAGTGGTCGTATTCTTTTTAATGTTAGGACTGCTAGCTAGGATCCTACGATAACACATGTATGTATGTATGTATGTATGTATGTATGTATGTATGTGTATATATATATATATATATATATATATATCTACCTCTGCATTGCTAAATCATTTTACAACACATTGAAGACCTCACTGCTGGCGAGGATGAGATTTAATTCAAGATCTCATAGACTCTTGTTTGTCATTTGGCAAAAGGCTTTAGCTGCCAGACAGGGTCACTGGCACAGATGCCCATTTGTGTATTCATTGTTTGTCTACATACTACTCTCCTTTTTTTTTTCTAGCCTCTCGCTATAATGTCTAATAAAATGTAAGCTCTTCCAGCTCAGCGTTGTCTAGATAACTATTTCCACAAATTTTATAATGATATGAAGTGTATTTTTTCTCTCCGGTGACAAAAGCTGGCAGCTGTTATGAATCGGGTTCATACCCACAAGATGACAAATTTGCTTCATTTATTTAAGAGCATCTGACAATTGTGCTATAAATTACAATCTGAATGATGACTCACCTTCCTGCGACTAGTTAAGGCTAGGTTCAGATTATGAGTGCTGTTAACTCTTTGTTAACTCTTTGTCAAGCGTGCATTCATTCTATAGATAAATACACTTCTGTTATTCAAGATAAGGATGGCCATTTACATTATTCTTTTTTGATATTTAGCACATTTTTATGGTTGCCACGCAGACTATAAAACACCTTTTTGGGCCTATTTCAGCACCGCAATTAAGAACAGTAGGTTATAGGCTTAATATTTCCAATCAAACTAGACTTTGTTCATCTTTTTTGTTGTCTTGGGATCATCTGTTGTGATCATTGAACTATCCCTCCTACCAGGAGGAACAATAGTTGTAATATACAAGGCATGATGACTTTATCTTTATCAGAAAAAAGGAAAGATTATACACAGATATACGAAGTCAGGTAGATAAATAGATGGATATATAGTTTGACATCCTTTTATACTATAGTACAGTTCTGCCTGTTATAGTGAAAAGTACTTCTGAAGCAGATTAAACATGTACAAACACCAATGAAGGGCAGAAGCCCACTGCAACTAATCAGATGTCAACTTTCCACATTTAGAGCAATGAAAGATGGTTTCTGATTGGGTGATATGGATTCACACTGTCGCGCATACACGCGCGTACGTGTGTATTGTACAAAATGCAACACATGCAAATAAATGGCTCCATACACATATAGTCGTGTATGGAGCCGTATATTTGCGTAGCATATATATGCGCAAAAACAGAATGGAACAGAGATGCGTCCGCGCAGCGTATTTACGCGCACATACGCGTGTTTGTGCGCGTATACGCGCGTGCATGCGTACAGCACATACAAAATTCCATTACGAGTGATGCATTCTGGGATTGAAATTCCATTACGAGTGATGCATTCTGGGATTGCATATAGTGCATGCATATACGCGCATAGACGCTCGTATATACGCAATATACAATTTTGCTTGCATTGTGTGTGAATGAGGCCTAAACCACAAAATGATGATACATAATTAAAAAATATCATTAAAATGTTTGCATTCTATTGTATTACGTCCTGGAACTGTATTGCTAGTAGTAGTGATGCATATTTTTTAAATGTACAATGTAATTTCCTGATTAAATGTATAGATTACTGTTCACGTCTTTAAATCTAAGCAGGAAATAATTGCATTGTTTGATAGGTGGTATAATGTGTTTCAAAGTGTAACGTTCCCTTTTTTCTCAAGCAGAGTCACTGAGAACACCAGAGACTACACAGCCCTTCCTGGAGTACACTGCATCTCTAAAACCAGCCAATCAAATTAGCCATTTCCCAAGCTTTGTTTCAATATGTGTGAGCATCACTCTACCAATATGAGGTGCCAGCGTTGATAAAACAAAAGGAGACAAGCAAATGCAAGCATCTGCCTTGGATGACATCCTATTTCTAATTCATCAACCCGAGGACCTATTTTGTGGATGGAGGCCATTTTGATCGAACAGAGGAATACTTTAAGATGGCTGCTTTGGCACAAGGTAGGTCGAATTTGCTGCCTAGCCGCGCTGCTCTTCTCCTCTCCCTGCCGTTGATCATTTTCTTAACGCGTTAATTAGCAACAAAACGGGACAATAAATGAATCTGGCATGACCCACTTTCATCTGCCACCACCCTTCTCATGTGGAAAATCTACCCTTCGTATTAATTTAATTAACATACTTTCTAATTTTCCGTCCTCATATGTGCAAGTGGTCGTATTCTTTTTAATGTTAGGACTGCTAGCTAGGATCCTACGATAACACATGTATGTATGTATGTATGTATGTATGTATGTATGTATGTGTATATATATATATATATATATATATATATCTATCTTTTCTTTTTTTTATTATTTATCACTTGTATATGGGAAACATATTAACATGCACACATTATGCATTCCTGTACTTACATTCCATTCCATAAACAGGCCAAATGTACACTATCTGGAATTAAAATTGGCATTGTTTCTGGACTATGTAAATTTTGTATTTAACCTAAATATGTGTTGCTGTTTTATTTATTAAAAATGAAAGCAGACTCTCTCTTCAATACATTATTTTTCTGGATATATTCCCTGTTAAAACCAAATAACATAACCTTCTATCATTATGGGACGAAAGATAAAAAAAAGATGCCTTGGAATATTATAGATTAAAATGTAATACAATAGGTAATGAACTGCTGCACTTGAGAGCTGAGCATTGACTGCCAGTGGAAGCAGAACACTATATTCATTTAAGAAACAACATATAGTAAAATATAATAACATCATGTATAATATATAATATAATATCATATACAGTATATGTGTTGTGAGCACCTGTGCAATTTTAAAGCAATAACTAGCATATACCATAAATGTTTATTTTTATTTACATATAATTGAATATATGTAAAAAGCTGAGCTTAGCAGTGGGTACCCATCTACACTGCAAGAGATATCTGCTCCTTTTGCCTAGGTGATGAAGAATCCCTCAGTCTTCTTCCTCTCCATGCAACAAATGTTACAAAGCCTCTTCCATTCACTGTCACTCTCTAACATCACCCTGTAGAATGCAGGACTAGCAGTCCTGCATTGCATGGGAAGACGTTGAGGGTCGGACCACATTCAGGTGTGTTGGACAGTGGAGGAGAGTGCCGGCTGCTGGGGGAGTGGGGAAGTAGGTAAGTATATTACCTTATTTATCATCTACTAGGCATTATAAGCAGTGAACCCTTGCACTAAGGAGGGGGACCTACTGCAAGAGTAGATTTTATTGCACTTGAGGTTTAGCTTATAAACAAATCTCGTTAAAGAAGAACTACAACCTTCTATCCCTTGCAGCCAAGAAATGTGCCATCTTGGCCTCTATTTGGATTGCAGATGCCATGGTGCTGAACATGTGATCAGCTATGACACCAGCCATTTAAGGGCTTGAAAGTTTTGTTGAGATCTGAACTAAGTGCAGTGACAACCTTCACAGTTAGCATGGCTTAAAAGAAACCTTTTTTTTTCCGGAGACATTGAATTAGTGGGTAAAGTTCCATTTCATGACACTATTTTTTTTTTCATTCTCTGTTAATGTATTTAGTGCTGTCATATTCCATAAATTTGTGGCCTTAAGTAGCTTGCATTTAAATATACCAAATCATATATTTCTAGGGCTAACAATGCCACAGGACAATACACCTGTTAATATATTATATATTACAGGCATTTAAATAGCGCACTTTACATACTATACAGTCATATCAGTCCCTGCCCTCAAGGAGCACACAATCTAAGGTCCCTACATGAATACATGCACACATTAGGGCCAATTTACACCCCCGTTCACATTGAGCGATTTATCGCGCGGTAATTCCCGCGATATCGCCGCAATTTACCGCGCGATATCGCTCTCCAATGCTTCTCAATGGGGCAAAGGGTCCTGCTGTCGCGGGTCGTGTGTCGCTACAGCAGGACCCTTTTTGGAGCGGATTTAGCCACGATTCAAGCTTGCTCAATGCAAGCATTTGCGCGATATCGCGCAAAATGCAAATCACGCGACAAACGCGCGATTTGAAAACCGCTCAATGTGAACGAGCTCTGAGACAGGAGAAGGTTAACCTATAAGCAAGTCTTTGGAGTGTGGGAGGAAACCAAAGTACCTGGAGGAAAATCATGCAAGCACAGAAATAACTCTCTCTCTCTCTCTCTCTCTCTCTCTATATATATTAGTACTGCATAGTATAAGTATAAACTCATGTGCACATAAATTAAAGGTAGGAGCACCCTATCTCTGCCACATCTACAGTTATTTTTCTGTACTTGTAGCATATTTTAAAGGGATAATTAAACTTGAGAAAATATGCATATATTACAAACATGTATGAAATATGTTCTTTTCTACTTTTGTTGTGACAAAAAAACCCTCAGAATTGAAAAAGACTGTATTTTAGCTTGCATATGATGATTGTAAACAGCTTTACTATATTTACTTTTCTACTCTTATAGTACATAAACCCTTATTGTGTATGCCTCTTTGGCAACTGAAGTAGGGTGGAGCAAACCAGTTAAAAGGAAAACTTAATATAGTGTTATTTTGTGGATTGTTAAAATGGCAGTTTCCCTCCTCTTCTAAGCCATTTTAAACGTCTTTCAGAAAAACAAAATCTTCTGGCATCTAAAGCTAGGTTTGAATGTTATAGTTTGATTATACAATCTCTTAATTACTTCCTTTAGATGTGCATTTATGTAGTG